CCGCGTGCACGCCGTCTGGCCACCGGAGCCGCTGCTGTGGCCGGCTCTGGGCCGCGGGCGGCCCTACACGCCAACCGCTGCGTGCTCTTGCGTGTGTGGCCAAGCTGCCCGACGCGTCACGCTCAGAGCGTGACGTCACACGCTCTGAGCATGACGTCACGCGCAGAGCGCCCGCGTCAGAGAGGACGCTCGCCTGCAACCTGCGTCTCCCCCGTCCCTGACGGTGGTCAAACGCACGAGGTGGAAATTTATGTGGTGATGCTGGTGGAGTGGCAGAGTTGTCGGAGGATACAAGCTAAGGAGCATTTCGCTTCAACATGACGAACTGTGACACCTCCAGCATCGGCCAACTCGCTGCTGACTGGCCGCCGAAGGTCGGCAATACGTTGACTCTCAGCAGGGAAAGGAGCGGTCAAAGTCGTGGTCGCAAGCATAAGAGAGCAGTCAAAGCTGTCATCCTCAGCAGAAGGCAGCTGTCACAGCCACGCTCGCTGCTGGAGGCGGCCGGGCGGTGATGCGCGGCATCAGCGAGCTGCTCCGTGTTGGCTTCGATCGTTATGGGATCGTGTTCAGAGGTCACCGACACGCCCAACTGGCGCGCCCTGATTGGCCTAATCGAGTTCAGAACATCCAGCATCCAACATCCATCCGGGGGCAGACGGGAGCCAGCCAGGCGCGGACAGGTTACCGTTAATGGCGCGAGTGCGCAGGATACTTCCGGAAGAGAGCGGTCACACGAGTTCGTATTTGTAGTTCTCAGTAGATGACGTTTTCAAGTGCGCTGTTGTTCGAGTTTGCAGGCGCGGCTAGCGCGGTCGTGCCCTCTAATGTTACCGTTTGTCACGCTGAAGCGATCTGCGCGTGGGCAGGTGGCGCCGGCCTGGCAGGCGGAGCCGGCAGGCGCGCCGGGTCTCGCCGGGGGCGCGACTGACGGCCAGCCGGCGCCTGGCGATGCAGCCGCGCTGCACCAGATGATTGGCTCCGAGGGCAGGCCAGATCGACCCAGTCCCTCCCTCCCCGCGCCGCCGGCTCTCTCCCCACGCGCGGCGTAACCGGGCGTGCGACCCGCTCATGGGAGTAGTAGCACACCTGACAGAGCAGGGCAGGGCTCAGAGCGGCCACACTGGCAGGAGCAAGGCAGGGCTCAGAGCGGCACACCTGACAGAGCAGGGCAGAGCTCAGAGCGGCACACCTGACAGAGCAGGGCAGGGCTCAGAGCGGCACACCTGAAACAGCAGGATAGGGCTCAGAGCAGCACACCTGACAGAGCAGGGCAGGGCTCAGAGCAGCACACCTCACAGAGCAGGGCAGAGCTCAGAGCAGCACACCTGACAGAGCAGGGCAGAGATCAGAGCGGCACACCTGAAACAGCAGGATAGGGCTCAGAGCAGCACACCTGACAGAGCAGGGCAGAGCTCAGAGCAGCACACCTGACAGATCAGAGCAGAGCTCAGAGCAGCACGTCTGAAAGAGCAGAGCAGAGCTCAGAGCAGCACACCTGACAGAGCAGAGCAGAGCTCAGAGCAGCACGCCTGACAGATCCCGTGCGCGACAGCTTACTGGTGCGGGGTGAACGGCAGATGCTCATTCATGGCGCTATCTAGCTGATCACGGCTGCGTGCAGCCGAGGAGCGGCGCGCACAGGCACGCGGCAGCTGCGCCGCGACGGCCACAAAAAACGGCGCGGCTCGCTTTTTACGGAGAGCCAGAGCTGGATCGCGAGCGGGGCCATCCGTTCGTTAGCGCTCGGTTCGGTGGTGGCCAGCCAGGCGTCGGCCGGCCGGGGTGCCGAGAGTAGTTCCCCTCGACGGCCGCTGTCAGGACTGCCACGCGCCATTTGCCACCTTCTGTGCGGCGGCGGCTGCCTGTTTTGCGCAGCCGCGCCCCGCCGCGCCCCCGAGAGGTGCGCCCCGCCCCGCGCGCGCGGCGGCGGCGGCGGCGTTTGTGGATCACCGCATTCCGTGACTTCCGTGCCAGGAGGACCTGCTGTCAGCCCCGTTAGCCAGGCGTGCCGTGCCGTTCGCATCCAGGCCCGTCCCACTGCCCATCAAGTCCGCCTGTCGACCGCCCGAAAGCCGGCGGCGCGCTCTCTATTTTTACCAGACGCGGTCGTCGGTCTGGCGTGGCGGCCCTCATCGCGCGGCCTGAGCGCCGCCACAAAACGCGCCCGGTGAATGGACGCCGCGGCGGCGAGGCCCCGGGTCGGAGGCGGACGACCCCTGGCGCGAGGTCGGGCCGCGTCGTCCCGTCCGCCAGGCGGCGCCCAGCCTGCGCCCCGCCAGCCGGCCCCCGCGCGCTCCGCACGCCACCGACCAATGGAAGGCGGGTGAGCAAGGCCGGCTTGTTACGGATGGGGTGAGCGAGGGCACTGCAGACCGCCAGTCCTGTAGCGCTGATAACCAGCCCAGTTAGAAGCTTTGGGACATTCTCATGATCAGCGGCGTTGCGTGTCATAAAACCGGCTCTGCGAGAAGTGCTTAAATTTGGCGCAACGTCCTGGTTCCCGGCGGTCGGTGCTCCTCGTTGCGTTGGACTTGAATCCGCAAGGTTTGAAGCTGAAAGCAGCGTTCAGCAGTCAGATCCTCATGTGGTCACACGGCTGCAGCAAGAGCTGTAAATCTCTCACTGCAGTACACTTGTGGATCAGATGCAAGCATTTGGGGCTACGCGTTTAAATCGGCCGTCACCCCCCGTGGTTTGGTACAAAGCCAATCACCCGGATGCGAGTCTGGTTCAGGCCGCCGTGTTAAGCCGCTGCGCAGACCACACATCGCCGCTACCACAAGCCTTTGTCCTGCACCCTTCCCCTCCCCTCCGGCGGTTCCATCAGCCCCTCCCCACCGCCGGCTGCTGCGCCGACCGCGCGCGACTCGTCGACTCGCCGGCCGCGGGCTGGCGCTGTTTGGGCAGTGAGTCAGAGCCTTCTAGGAGGGCGCGGCGCCCTGACCTGATGGTCCCGCCCCTCCACGGGTGCGGGGTGCCGCCCGGGGTGCGGCCGGTGCGTCACGGCCAGGGGCCGGCCGCACCCCCCGCACTGAGGGTGCGCTGACCGCCAGCGATCCCGGCGCGGCTTGCCGCTCTCTGCCGCACCTGTGATTCCACACCCGCACCGAGCCGATGACTCCATTTCGTGGCAGCTGGCTCCGCCGCCCCCGGCGCGCTCGCCACCCCGTGCAGGCGGGCGCGTTCCCAGGCATCACATGACTCGGCACGAGCCGGGCCGGCGGCCCCGGCCGGCTCGAGGTCACGGCCCCCGTGACCCGTGACCCGGCCGGTGTCGTGTGTGTTTGCTGACGGCGCCACATTGCGCCGTGGCGCGCCTGGTATGCCGGTGCTGACTGGCCGAGGTCATCCCTTGATCATTAGAAGCAATGCAGTAGCTTCGGTCTCGCAGTCAGCCGGCTGCAGGGTGGATCCCGCACCAAAGTCAGTGGCGATCCCAGGGGACGCAACCCCACCGCAGGTTGAGGCTTTGACCAGAGATTGCTTCGGCGAACAGGAGCTGGGTCGGTACAAACGTCACGGACGGAAGAGCAACAACAGTGCCGGTTGCTTGCTGGTAGACAACCTTGGTCTGTTCGATGTCGATGTGCACGCAAGCTGAGAGAGAGAAGAGAGGGAGACAGAGAAGAGGGAAGAGAGAGAGGGAGAGCCCGAAGAGACGGAATGATGTCGAGAGAAACTGGACGAAGAGGAGAGGACGAGAGAGGGACGAGAGAGGATGTGAGAGAGATAATGAGAAGTTGAGAGAGAGAGCGAGAGAGGAGATGAGGAGAGAGAGAGAGTGAGAGGGCGGAGAGAGAGAGATGAGAGAGAGGAGAGAGAGAGAGAGGACATCGGCGGTTCCCGCGCGTCCATAAGCTAGGCTATGGCTAGGCTAGCTATCATCCCGTAGTCAAGCTAGCTTCAGAAGGCTAGGCTCTCGGAAATGCGCATGCTTGCACCCCGGGTGTACATTCGCCACGTGCATCTCAGTGTCGAGGCGGTGGACAAGCACGAAACCAAGTTGTTCAGCTCCATGAACTATGAGAATAGAAGGCATTGTAAAACACCCACAACATGATATGCGCCAATATTTACGGTGTACCTGCGGCGGATAAAAGCGTCTAACGCCAATCGAAGAGAGCACCAGCCCACCTTGTCACGGCTCCGCAGCTTGTTCAGCTTCTTTTTATAGCGGTCAAGTCCCCTGCAATTTCCATTTACAATACATGGGGTGCAGGTGTGCACGACGTACCCGTCCGGGCCAGCGATCACCACAGGAGGCCAGAACCAACATCGGCTGGGGCAAATGGCACGTGGCCCACACACGTGCCCCGAGCCTCTTCATTCCTCGTGCCGCATGGCCGGCCCCACGGAGCGGGTGGCGGGGAGGGGAGGGGGGGGGGGGGGGGCGCCTCCCGGCTCGAGGTCCATCTCTATGGGCCGCCTGGTCGCTCATGGTCTCAGTGGGGTGTCCCCAACAGCAGCGGCACGTCTACACGGACCACACGCCATCAGACCGGCAGCGGTCGCACCACAGCACAGCCAGCGAGGGCCGGCCCGGGCGTTACACGGCCTGTCGGAGCGTCTCACCGCCCGCCGTCACAACAACAGCCGCCACCGACTTGGCCAGCGCTTGCCCGCAGCGTGAGCAGCCAGCACTGCTGCGTACCGCCGCCGTCTCGAGCCGGCGCCAACCGCCAGCGGGCTGCGTGCCGCCACCCGGGCAGCGTCACGGCCGTGCCGGCGGCTCCCAGCGCGTCCGGCGTCGGTGGGCCGCGGTGCGTGGCGGCGCCAGGTGTGTGGGAACGGCGCGGCGGCGCGCGGCTGTGTCAGTGCCCGCCCGCCGCTGCCGCCGCCGCCGCCCGCCGTCCGCCGCCCGCCGCCGCCAGCCCGGCCCGCCAGCGGCACACGTGCGGCGCTCGCGGCCTGGTGCGGACGCGGCAGCGACGCTGCGGACGGCGCGTGGCGCGCGCTGGTGAACGGCCGCCGGCGGACTGGTGTGAGCGGTGGCTGAGGAGCGGCGACCTGACGCGCGAGTGACGTGTCGAGGGCAGCCCCATACGGATCTGTGACGTGACCTCTGCAGCGTGGCAGCGACGTACGAACGAGACCGTGCCTGTGCAGGGGACGTGGGCCTGCGAGTGTGACCACTGGGGTCAGAAGACAAATTGTGGGAGTGAGTGCGGATTGCCCCGCTGAAGTGAGACGGCATCGACAGGGTTCTTCCCCGTGTGAGAGGGTCCTCCGGGAGCGCCGCCTCGACTCGCATCGGTGACTCGCGCGTGTGAGCGTCGAAGAGGGACAGCGCCGCGGTGGTCCCGTCTGTCACCTCAGCGAGCGAACAACCAGCGCCAAACTGGGGAAGCTGCGCGCTGCCACGTTTGACCTGGTGGCCGGGAGTCATGGTGATGCTGGCGGCATGGACAAGAGCAAGCGGAACGACGACGTCGTCCTGTTGCTCTGTGAGTATGGACCACCTGGCGGAAGTCATAAGTACTTCGCCGGCAGGCAGAAGGCATTCAAACGTCATGATTGCAGACGGCAGTATTTACCACAGCGTTCGTCAGGAGGCGAACAGCTAACTGGTGTCGTCTTCGAGACAAAATGTACGTGCATTGTCGCGCACAATGCCATAGCAACGCAGAGCAAGCAAACGATGTTATGGTTCAATGTTTGAACCTTGGATCAAATCGCATGACCTTCGGCTCGGCTTTAGCGTAGTGTATATTTTTCCAAACCCTCGGGGCCAGTCAACAGGGAGATGTTGGGGTTGTGATTATCAACGTTCCTGCTATAGTCTTACTTGGTAGCCATTGCTAATCAAACGTCGAACACACAGGGTGGGCCGTTGCAGGCATACTCTGACTACGGATGACGATGTGCCGGTGGGAAGGGATCAGGGCGGGCGGTGGTGACGTGTTTCCGACCGGGGACAAGCCGACCGCCGGCTTCCCCGCACCTCCCCTTCTCTCCCCTCCCTGGTGTGGGCAGGGCCGGCTGTGCCCGCGTCATCGGCTTCATCACCGGTCGACCCGTGCACATCCGGCGGCAGTGGAGAGGGGAGGGGCATCCGGGGCACACCGCGGGGGATGGATCCTGTCCCAGCGCAGCGGAGGGACTTACGAGGGGGCTGCCGTGCGGCGGGTGATGGGTCCTGTCCCAGCGCAGCGGAGGGACGTACGAGGGGGCTGCCGTGCGGGGTGACGGGTCCTGTCCCAGTGCAGCGGAGGGACGTACGAGGGGGCTGCCGTGCGGGGGTGGACGGGTCCTGTTGGGCGGAGGGGCGTACGAGGGGGCTGCCGTGCGGAGGTGGACGGGTCCTGTCCCAGTGCAGCAGAGGGGCGTACGAGGGGGCTGCCGTGCGGAGGTGACGGGTCCTGTCCCAGTGCAGCGGAAGGGGCGTACGAGGGGGCTGCCGTGCGGGGGTGACGGGGTCCTGTCCCAGTGCAGCGGGAGGGGCGTACGAGGGGCTGCCGTGCGGAGGTGATGGGTCCTGTCCCAGTGCAGCGGAGGGGCGCACGAGGGGCTGCCGTGCGGAAGGTGACGGGTCCTGTCCCAGCGCAGAGGAGGGACGTACGAGGGGGGCTGCCGTGCGGGGGGTGACGGGTCCTGTCCCAGTGCAGCGGAGGGGCGTACGAGGGGGGCTGCCGTGCGGATGGTGACGGGTCCTGTCCCAGTGCAGCGGAGGGGCGAACGAAAGGTCTGCCGTGCGGAGGTGACGGGTCCTGCCCAAGTGCAGCGGAGGGGCGTACGAGGGGGCTGCCGTGCGGGAGTGACGGGGCCTGCCCCTGTACCGGAGTGACGGAGACCTGCCCCCGTGCAGGGGTGACGGGGGCCTGCCCCTGTACCGGAGTGACGGAGACCTGCCCCGTGCAGGGGTGACGGGGGCCTGCCTCTGCGCAAGGGCGACAGGGGGCTTTGTGCGGAAGTGACGGGTCCTGTCCCAGTGCAGCGGAGGGGCGCACGAGGGGCTGCCGTGCGGAGGTGACGGGTCCTGTCCCAGTGCAGCGGAGGGGCGCACGAGGCTGCCGTGCGGAGGTGACGGGTCCTGTCCCAGTGCAGCGGAGGGGCGCACGAGGGGGCTGCTGTGCGGGGTGACGGGTCCTGTCCCAGTGCAGCGAGGGCGCACGAGGGGGCTGCGTGCGGGGTGACGGGTCCGTCCAGTGCAGGAGTACGAGGGTGCGGGAGTGACGGGTCCTGTTGGGCGGAGGGGCGTGCGAGGGGCCTGCCGTGCGGGTGACGGGGACCTGACGGCAGCGAGAGCCAGCCTGAGAGCCTGACGGTGCCAGCCCGCCCGGCGCCAAGTGGTTCCGTCCGATGAAAACACGCGGTATGTAAACACAGGACTGCGGTCGGATGGATCGGTGGCCGTGCTGTGACAGCCAGACGACACGTCATCGGCATTAGTGGATCTGGGGTGCGGATCTGGACCAGCGGCGGGAATGTTACCGTCGGCCAGACAACCGTCGGCGCAACAGCAAGAACGCTGTTAGCTTTGGTCCGTTCGGATAGGCGATGATAGACAGTTGGCCGTTGTAGCCTCCGTTGAAACGGTCGTTCTGAAACTCCTTGCGTGATGCCCAAGGCGCCTTAACGAACAGGAAAAAAATACTTCGGCTCCAGTGACGTGAGCTCCCCGTAAAGACCAGCTCACGGCGTTCAGTTGCAGGTCCGTGGTAAAGCAGCATTATGGCGAGAGCTGCAAAAGCAGGCAGACCGTATTAAGCGTCTGCACGGCCGTGACACAACGTGGATGTGGAGACGCTACTTGTTCCTTACCGATGCGGCGTAGTTGGCGCGGAAGTTCTGACTCACGTTACCGTCTGTGGTGCTACCACTCCCGCAGGATGTGCTGTGTTCACGCTATCTGTTGTCCATCGCCGTGGCGTGCTGACGCTGAGTGGCGTGCACAGACTGCTGTTGCTTCGTCGAAATGGAAAAGAAAACAATAAAAGGAGCGTTTCAAATGCATTTCATTAAAGCAAGTCGTGGATGTATTGCTGGCAACATAACTTTTCTGACCTGGATTAAAGAGCGACCTCCCGATTCACTTGAAGCAATAGCCTTCCGTAAAAAGCTAGTTGTATTGCAAACACAGCCGTCTTTGGGCTTGAGCACCACTGGCAACCGCTTCGGAGAACGCCACAGACAAGCCACGTCCTTGCCTAATCAAAACACGCACCCGCAGCATCGCGAAACGCTGCTGCGTACAAGTTACCCAACTCGCGAAATGAAAGCTTCAGAAAACGTCACAACCCAGCGACGTCCTCACGTACTGCACGTGTCGTCGACGGCAGGCGGCGGTGCCGTGCGCCGGTGGGGCCGCAGCGCGCCCGGCTTCTCACGTCGCCTGCCTCTCGCTGTGAAACCGGCGCTATCCGCTCGACCCGGGCGCCGGGTCACAGCGACTCGCCTCTGTCGCAAGCGCGGGTCAGAGGTGTTACAACCCGCCGTCTCTGCGCAATGCTCTCAGCCCGTACGGAGCGCCCTGGCGCACGGCGCGTCGGGGCGCGGGGCGCGTGTGATCAGTGACTGGAAACGGGTGGCGCTGGCACAGATCTGTCGGAACGCATCATAGTACGTGCGCGATTCGCTGCCGGCTGCGGCCCGCTGCGGGGCCGCCGTCGGCTTCGACCACCCGTCTACCCGAGCGCATACCTCGCAGCAGCTGGTGCGGGGCCCGACAATAAACAGCCGGCCGTGGGCCGTGGGAAGGTCAGGGGTCGGCGTGGGGTGCCGCCTGGTGACCGCCCCCGGCCGACGCCGAGCCGATCCCAGCTGGCCGGCTGACCGCGGCGTCCGCAGCTGACGGCACCCCGGACGCCCGACGCAGGGCACCGGGCCAGTTCGCACGCTCCAGCCGCGGCGGCCCGTCTGGTACAACTCTGATGCGTGGCTGTGATGCGCACTTATTACGGCCTGTCTTTTACGGCCTAAGCTGCATGGCTTCTTTAACGAGTGTTCCCGGTGCGTCCTTTCATCGTTACATATCTTCCGTGATGCGACTGTTCTCCCATACGCCATTTGTTCCAACGCGTCCGATGTCTCTCTCCTATGCATTGGTCCACGTGACTACTGGCCAGTGGGGCTCGTGGTCGCGCTGAGGTCGAGCGAACAACGCGTCCAAGTGCCGCTCCCCCGTTCGCCCAGCAATGCTCCTGGTGAATGCCTTTGGTCACACTGTCACCAGTGAGCATTAAACGTGCCACGTGTCAGCTCTGATTATTTTTTATAGCGGGAAGCGAGTCACCACTGAGTCGTTTGCTCGCGCTGCCGCGGACGTGCCACGAAACAAATCTTCTTACACTGACTGACGTGCCACGTGACAGTCGCTTGCAGTGGACCACGTGAATGGTGATAAGCCTGGTGCGGTCTCAGGTCCTCGACGCGGCGCGATGCAGCTGCGGTGGCGATGGGCCACGTGACACGTGACGGCCTCGGTCACGCGGCGGCAGAAGTGCCGAGTGCAGCCTGCCCGCCCTGTCCCGACGGGCGGCATGAGTGACATATGTGGGTCTCGGCGCTGCAGCCCGGGTCACGTGACCGCCGTCCAGCTCAGGCCGGTGACGTCAGCAGTGTAAACGGACTCGGCTGTCCTGTGGTGCGCCATGGACGGCGCATGGCTGCCTGTCCGCGCTTTCTCCGCAGCTGTCCGCCGCTGTCAGGCCGCCACGTCCCGCCTCTAATGCCAAGTTATTTACACGGCCCGATGCGGCTGACTGGCACGCTTCACACGGCCTTCCGGAGGGCGCCGACAAGTAGGTGCCTCCGACGGCGGCCGGAGACAGCCCAAACACCGCAGCAAAGCCGACAGGACCAGCCGGCGCGGCTATAGCCGCCGTTAGTCGGCCAGCGCTGTCGACCGAGGACGGACCGTTCGTCGGCCAGTGCCACGCTGACCAGCGCCGACACGGAGCGTGTCCAGAGCCAGCCTGCCGCCGCCGGCGACATCGGAACAATGGGCGGCCGCGCGCCGGGCGCGGAGCGGTCCGCCGGCGGCGCCCGGCCGTGTGAGCGGGCTGACCTCATCGCTGACCTCTGACACGCTCCCCTCGCATCGTGTCAGTCGCAGACCCCTCGTAACGGTGATCACGACGTGGGCTCACACTGGGCTCACACTCACCGGAGGAGGGCGTGACTCGCCAAACAAATTGCTCTGGATGTTACCGGGATCATATTTAGAGCCAGCTGGCGTGTACTATGGATTGCGCGATACTGTCTCGTTGACGGGTGCTTCGACCTATCCTTGAACCCATCTAGTGCAACGCATGTGTAATGAGGAATTCCCTTCCCACATTAGCATAGCTAATGGCAGGCTTGTTGCGAGCTTCTATAAATGACTTTGATGCAGCTAAATTGCGCAGCAGAAAGTCGGTTGGAACAAGGCGAAGGCTGTTTTTTATACTAGATGACTCTGTCGCTCCCAATTGGTTAAAGTTCGGTGGATCGCACCTTAAAACAGCCATTCACGATTTTAAATTATCCCATATGACGCGGATTCACTCATGACCAACAAATATTCATGACTTCGTGTAAAAACATTGATGTTGTTGAAAGCTAAACCCGGTTCAGAACATTCGGCGTTATCAGCAAACACGCCAAGGCATGCACATCACGAGTAAGACAAATCCTGCGCCGCACCCATCCGGTGTAGGCCCTATAGCTGCCCATCATGCGATGAGTGCGGCTGCAGCGGGCGTGTCACTAATCTGTGCTGGAGCGACGCCTGAGGGCGCCCGGCGGACCACTGCAGCTACGGGACCAGCGTCTTGCAACGGTCCATGCGTGCGCGGTCCTGCCGCCCACGGGATGAGGCTGGCTGGACACGGGTGGCTTCAGGCTCGGGGCCGGGGAGGCGGTACGGTGTGACAAATACTGAGAAGAAGCTTATGTAACTCTGCATGCCGTGACTGCGGGCCCGGCTGTCGCATGTTCCCGGTCGCGGACTGGCATCTGATGGCGGCGGCGTGACATGCCCAGTCCGACCGCCGGCGGGCGCCCGGACGCCCCTGCGCCGGCCGCCACATCTGACGTCGGTGGTTTGTCTCTGCTGCAGATAAGAAGTCGCCGAGTGAGCCGAGCCAGCCGGCCGCCAGCTCCCCAGCCGCCAGGCCCGTCTACATGGTGTACGACGGCGCTGACCGGCAGCCGGACGGCCCGGCACCACCAGGTGAGCACCCGTGGCCCGACAGCCCTCCCCCGAGTGGGAGGTGGACGGTCCAGCACCAGCGCCGCCAGATTTTTTTATTTTAAAAGCCTGCGCCCGCCCCGCAGGAACATTTTGAAACCCGCCCCGCCCCGCAGGGCTATTTTTGAGAAAGAGCCCAAACAAGCCCACACTTACTGTTTTTTCTCAGTTTTTTTCCACAATATAAGACCCACAACTAAGAGTTGTAACAATTATACAAGGCTGTTTATTGTGTTTGTTCTGTATTTGCAATACTAGCATTAATAAATCTCAGTTTTCATTCCCGGCACAGAAGCTTGCAAATTACCTCAACATTTTATTTGACCTAAAAGAAGGACCTGTAAGAAGTATATACCGATATTGATGGCTTTAGCACTTGTTTTCAAAGCAACAATTAATGATGTGGTTATCACACTTCATTTACTTCAAGGTCTAAAAGTTTGGCTCATTGCAAGGAAACCTCAGGTTCTCAGAAGGGCCAAAAGACACAGTTGTCTTGTTCAAGGATATCAAATATGTTTTGTCCAGAATAACATCCTCATGACTGTTCAGAGGACACTTCAAAGTTAGGTAAAGGCTCATACCTTGAAAGTAAGAAAGTGTGACAACAGTGTTAGTGTGGAAAACATAACTTACCTTGTAGGTACTTAAGTTACTTATTTGCTTGATTCTCATTTTTGCACTTGTTCATGTGGGTCCCCTTATGCCCTGCATGATATGCATATCCATGTATTTTGTAAAGACAGAATCGGACATCCACAGCTCCAAGGTGACTGGTATTTGAAACCATACAAGTGTCATTTTCACCAAGAAAAAATTTCGTATGCACTGCAAAACGAACACCTTTACAAATTCAGACGTATTACCGACATTATAGGACTAAAACACTGCCGAAGTGCAAAAACGCACTTCAATAACAACCTGCCCCATTCTTCATTGCATAGACATTAGTGCCTGGTGACTGGCTAAGCTTGCTCACGTACAGTAGCGAGGCTTTAAATCTTACTGAGAAGCTGTATCCAAAGCTGGATTCATTTCATACTCGAAATCAATTTCTCGCGAGTCAACTGTAATGCCATCAAATCCCAAAGGCTGTAACGCTCCAAGCCTCATTGCTAGTGAAACGCGATCCGGTGCGCCATAAATGACTTCACGCTTAACGTTTGATCTGTGAATGGCTACTTAAACACGATAATTGGCTAGCAAATGCGACCTCGTTTGTAAGCCGCGTAAACGTCGTTGTTAAATGGCACCGAGTCGCAAGTAACGGAGTCTTTTGCAGTTGGAGAGTTTAAACAACGTACGCACCTTACGCGTGCTAATACAGTGAAGGCTTATTTTAACTTCAGCCAAGTTAGAGGATGCTTTCACTTAACCTGAGCTAATCATGACGTCCGGGCCATCCATTGCTTCGTTGCGCCGGTCACCCATGATTACGTCAAAAGATTTATCACCAAAACAGCCGATTTCACAGTGCTATCGTTTTACGTGTCAACCATGTCCAAATTTGCTTGGTTATCAACTCAGAACGTACCTGACGTTTATAAAATACTGCAATTTCGCATGCAGAAGTGTTTCCATGCAGCTGTTTCACGAGGACAATGCACGATAAAATTTCACCTATGCCTTGCATCGATGTAGGTTACATTGAAGTTTAAACGCGTACCAATGTCCGCCAAATAAAAGAACCTGATCACCAAACCAGTCTTTTGTCCAGCGGAACCAAACCAGCTTGACCAAACTTGAGCATCGATGCATCGGTGCTTGAACATTTGAACACATCGATGCAGTGTCCAAACTTCGTAAACGGCGAAAAATGTCGATCAGCCTTGGTCGTGCTCTTGGCTATGCCGAGGCCGCGCGATGTGCGCCGTAATCGTCTTTCGATGCCGCGGCATGGTGGCTGTTGTTCTGGTGGTTAAACAAACCGCGGGCGGAACTCCAAGACTTGGCATGAATTCAGCAGACATTGTTGCTTTATCCACGTTACAAAGTCTGCAGATCAGTTCTGGGTTACGAAACACTGGCTTGCTGGCAGGGTGTTCGGGATTTGGCGGGCAATGGTATGCGCTTTACTTCCAATGCCAGGCCCTTGCTTCCATTTCATCCAAGCAGGGGCTGTTGGGTACCGTTTGTTGTTTGAACATGACGTGAACATTTGAACCTTTCAGCTTTGCCAGGTATTCTGTTCTCATGATGCGTTTTTATTTTCATGGATGGTATTGAGTCTAACGGTTCCTGCTCTGTCGTTATCTGTGGGGATTTCAACCACTCACTTTTTTGCATAGCTAAATCTTATGCAATAGTAGTGCTGAAACCATGCTCTTCTACTGATAAAGATATTTAATGTGCCTTGGCAGATTTGTTTATGAAGTAGCATGCTTGGCATCTGGAAAACCTCAACACTAGATATGCTGCTTTGTTATTGTCACGCATTTTGCAAATATTCTCTTTTCACGAGAGGTTATTGTGCATAACAAATAAGTAATTTATTGTGTGTATGTGTTACAAACACACAATCTAAAATAATTTGTTTTTTGAAAGCCCACCCTTACCCGCAACTTTGTCGGAAGTACCCGCCAAATCGTCGCGGCCTTTTAAAGTCCAATTGTTACGGACCTATGCTTTAAAGTGGCAGCTCCGTCCAGTACCCACAGGTGAGCATCCGTGGCCGTGCACCTCTCCTCCGACCGGCAGGCGGATGGGTTAGTTCCTGGCAGGTGGGCTGTATGACCGCTCCTCTGCCCCAGCGGGAGACAGCAGGCCGACATCCCACAGAGCCCCCGTGACCCCCCCCCCCCCCTCCCCCTTCTCGGCCAGCGGGAGGCGGAGACCGGCCGGACACCCTCTTGAGTGCCCCCTCCCCCCCCCCCCCCGACCCGGGCGTCCGGCTTGCTGCCCGCCCTGACTCCCACGCCGGGGCGGAAACCAGCTGTCGGCTCGTGGGCGTCGGAATGGAGAGCGGCACAGTCGCAGAGGGAAGCGCGTGCCTGTAGGGACTGTCCCCGGCAGTGAGCTGCACACCTGAGCATAGCAGGTCACAGCCTGAGCAGCCTGAGCATGGCAGGTCACAGCCTGAGCAGCCTGAGCATAGCAGGTCACAGCCTGAGCAGCCTGAGCATAGCAGGTCACAGCCTGAGCAGCCTGAGCATAGCAGGTCACATCGAAACGAGACCAAAAGGCCTGAAAGCAGGCTGAGAAGAGCGCGACTTAAACTGGGGAATTAAAAACGGTTATTTTGCCTTGATTAGAATATGTCTGCCGCTGGTGTTTTTAGGGCGGGCCCTCTGCTGTTGTCATTTTGCAGGCATAAAACCCTGGAGTGGGCTTGAAAAACTAAATACGGACAACATCTTCAGGACCTTCGCGATTACCAAAAGAAGTCACGCAGCGAAAACGTAAGGATGACTTTAAAAATGACCAAAGCACTTCAAGGGCACAAGAGATGGAGGCAAAAAAGGGGCAGGAGTTGACTTGGGCTCCGAGAACGCAAAAAAGTCGTAAATATGCATTCAATCGCACAAGATGACTGGACTAAAATGTTTATGAATTCATGAGCCCAATGTGTCAGCAGACACGAATAATGCGCTTTTAGCTGAGATGACAGAGCCGTTATAATACGTTGAATGAATACGTTTTGTGACAGCATTTTCCGAGTCCTGGTTGAAACCTCCGCCTTGAGAAAAGGCAACAGCTCAACAAATATTTTCCGTTTAGAACCATAGTAAATTCTTGCGCAAAGAAATCTGTAAATTGCGGTACACGTGAGGTGGGCACCTTGATTCATGGCTTGTTCTAGTTTCATTAACATTTGTGATCCGGAAAACTGCCACTTACGGCGGTCAGCTGTAGTGTGAGATCCGCGTTACCATTGATGGAGCGATATGGCTCTTATCCCGGATACTGCAATGTGAGAAACCGCAGCAGCTGATCGGAATTACTGATTGTCGGCAGCTCAAGGCAGCTTGGCCAGCTGGGCGTTTTGGCGCTAAGTGACCTGCCTTTCACCGAGCCGGCGGCCATTACACGCGACGGCTGCCGGCCGGCGTCGTTGAGCCGGGATCTGACCTGACCTAAGGTCGGCACGGACCCAGCAATTAACCCCTGCCCCATCCAGCCCCTTCTCCCTTCGGGCGTGAGCAGATCTCGGCATGGCTGACGAGGAGCGTAAAGCGCCCGCCGGAGCGTCACTGCTGATTCTAAAGGTCATCCCCAGATGGCAGTGGCGTCGACGCGTTACGCTCAGACCCACTGGGGACTCCGTCCCCGCCAGAGTAAGTGGTATTTCGCGACGGGTGGCGCTTGGTTACTGGTGACTTCGGCGAGCCATTTATTACAACTTGCACCAGAAAGGTCAGTTCCTGCCCGTTAATCAACTTCACCAGCTATTTGTATATGTAGGTTTCGTAGAATGCGAGGATCCGCTGTAACGGACTGAGCGAGTTCGCGGAACGGCGGCTCATCTGTTCAATTACAGCATGTTTTGCTGAGTATGTAGCCTCCACCACTGATTTTCCATTACATTCCAAGTAATCAGAAATGAAACTTCATGCGTCAAACTCTCCTTGCTGTTAAGCTCAGAAGTCCCTACAGTGCCCGTCTGAGGGCGGTCCGGCGCCGAAGGTCGGCGACAGGCCGCGCCACCGTCGCCGCCGCTAGTGGCCGACCTCTGGCCGGCTTTCCCTGCGAACACGTGGCCAGACAGGCCGGCGGCCCTCTCTCTCCCTCTCCCGCCCTCGGTGGCGCCGCGTCTGGCTCGCCTAGCGGCTCCCCATCCGCGCGAGGATCATTGTGCAACTGTTGGTGGGGCAGGCGCGATCGGAGACGCTTTTCGCCATTGTACGCTGTCGTTAGCCGGTGGAGGCGGCACAATTGGCGGATCACGGCGAAACATACGGTACGCGCCGTAGAGCTGGGGCGCCCGGGGCCACCCGGCTTGGCGGAGTTTAATCTTTGCGTGCGTTGCCAGGGGGCGTGTGCCT